TTTCATACGTTGAAGCGTCGTACTATTCTCACTATCAATTAACAAACTCAACTCCTTTTCATAATAACTATAACTTTAATATCTAAGTAAATATAATAAACATCCTATCACTCCAAGGTTCCACTCAAGACTGCCGCACGACTAAAACATACGTCACAACACTGCATAGACAATACGTCACGACTCAGCATAAAAATACGTCATAAAGACAATGGCGGGAAGAGCGTTCACTAACTATAATAGTCAAGCGCGGGAAAAGCGTTCAACAACTAATGAACATAATATTGAGTCGCAACAATTCCTAATGAACGCTCATACTCGACATATCCCCCCTCTTTCATTTCAGATTTTACTCAGGGAGTGAAATCGTCACCAGACATACAAAATTTACATCAATTACATCAAGAAGAACCCTTCAGCCATATGAATGGTCCTTATCAAAAAACATTATTTAGGTATCACTGAAAATCAAACAGATTTATGATATACTGCAATAAAATAAACAATCCTTCGTACATAATTTTAAATGCAATTCAAGAGTTAAAAATTCATGTACCACAATAAAAATCAGACCATTAAAATTGAATGTCAACATTAATTTTCATTTTTCATACCAATAAAAATAATTATATTTGTATCTCAAAAATCCGGGCAAATACATCAATATCCTTACTGAAGTTGAAACTATAACTAAGTTAATCCAAATCATATCATCAAAAAGGTGTATTTTTAAATAAAACCAATGGTCATCACTATAAAAACACAAAACTATCTAACATTATTACAGGTGAGAGATGCCTCACCACAATTTGAGCAGCCTTTATTTGCTCTTAAATAACACAGCTACAGATGGCGGGACATATCTTTTGTCCGTGGATTTCACAACTTTATGCTTCAACATGTTTATTATAATTAAAATTATCTCTCCCTGTTCTTTTGACCCGTGGTCATAACTCATGTGAAATCTCAGTTTTACAATACATATTTTTAAATTGTTACAAAATGAAAAACGAGTCTCATAAAAAAGAAACTCAAACAAATCAGGAACTTCAGGGCAATCATGGCAATAGTTCATTTTAACAGATTCATTTTGTTTAACAATACAATCAAAAGCCTCACCTCCCAACTCATGGACCTGACATCTCACCTCCTCTTGAAAATCATAAACAAGTGCACCTTTAGAGCTGGCAGCGCTCTCTTTAACACTTTCAACATTGGTTTCCAACTTAATGTTAGAGCACTCCTGGCTCTCAAAATCTGGACAACCTTCACTCACATTACTTGGGAATTTATTTTCATTACAACTGTCTGTAACAATATGTAAATTTGAGCAGCCCTGGCTCACATTTACAGGTGATTCATTATCATTACAACTATCCGTAACAATATGAAAATTTGAGCAGCCCTGGCTCACATTTACAGGTGATTCATTATCATTACAGCTATCCGTAACAATATGAAAATCTGAGCAGCCCTGGCTCACACTACCTATTGATTCATCATCAATACAGCTCTCTGTAATACTATAAAATTTTGAGCAACCCTTGCTCATAACAACTTGTGATACATTTTCATTGCAGATCTCTGCAGTAACATCAAAACCTGAGCACACCTGGCTCACATTATCAACTAATTCATATTCATTACCAGTACATATCTCTGTAAAAATATCAACATTTGAGCAACCTTTGCTCACATTACACAGTGACTCATTTACATCACAATAATTATCAACAACAATTTTCTCTCCTTCCCCCACCTCAGGGATTACACTCACCTCATCAACCTCACACAAAAAATCAGACACTTCAACTTCAGGACTTACATTATCTGATGGCTCACCATGAGATACAACAAAAATCATGTCCTCAGACATTAGAACAGGGTTCTCTTTGCTTTCAATACAGCCCGTTTCCATAACCACCAGTTTATTACATACTGTGACGCTGGGACAATCCCCTACATACGTCCACCTAAGGTCATTTCCAATGACTTCTACCTTATTAAATTGTCGTCCCCTTTCTTCTTTACATTGGACTTCCTGGGATACACCAACTACTTCAACCTCGTTTTGGCATAAATCTAAAGCTATATCTGTACCCTTTGCCACTGGGGTTATGTCAGCACGGTCAACGTTGTCCCTTTTAACGTTAGCCGACGGATTAATTAACAATTCACTGTCATTTCTATTTAAAAAAATTGAGTCGTCAGCAGAGGCAATAATATCATTTTGTTCCTCAGTATCTTTAGCCATGAACCGTGGTTGCGAGGCCGGCTCTTGCCTGGGGTCGGGATCATGAGTATGTCCACCGTTATCCTCATAATCGTCAATAAAGTTGTTTTCACTTAATCTATTTTTATAGGGATTCTCACAGTGAATGCTGGCAATGCCATAATATATTTCTTCCCCCTCACTCTCGTCATCGTCACTGTCGTTATAATAATATGCCTGTCTCTTTAAAATAATTTCCCGTCGTTCTGCCTCTAATTTCGCACGTCTAATTTCTTCATCTAGTTTATTAGGTTTGTACTGTCTCTGTCTATCTCGGAGTTCGTACTGACTCTGTCTATCTCTAGGTTCGTACTGTCTCGGTCTGGCTGTATGTTCTACATATCTCTGTCTATCTCTAGGTTCGTATTGACTCTGTCTATCTCGAGGTTCGTACTGTCTCGGTATGGCTGTATGTTCTACATATCTCTGTCTATATTTAGGTTCGTACTGATTCTGTCTATCTCTAGGTTCGTACTGTCTCGGTCTGGGTGTATGTTCTAAACATCTCTGTTCAGCTAAACTTTCTCGCTCTCTCTGTTTAGCTACACGTTGTAGCTCTCTGTGTTTATCTATGTGTTCTTGCCTTATCTGCGTTTCTATAGGTTCCTCCTCTCTTTGTTTTTCCCACATTCCCATTATAAATTCCACAAGTTTTTCTCCCTTATAAGAAAGTAATATGCCAACACGCTCAATTTCTTCTAGGCTCAATTTCCCATACTCGACATATCCAGCCATGGCAATAAAATTTAGGGGTGATCATGCAATGAACAATAATTAGGTTTTAAGGATCAATCGTAGTCTGTTTAAAGAAAGCTAAATTCTACCCAGGTACAAAAAAAATGTAAATACAAAAGAAAATTGATGCCAAAAATGTTTTAAAACAATAAAAATCCAACTTGCCTGGTTCTTGAAATGTCCTATAGAATTTAAATATTATTTAAAACACACACTGGGCTTAATTAAGTGTCAATGGTTCTTTACTGTCAATAGTTCTCTCACAAACTTCAATTGTCCTATATGGCGATCTTGGGAAACAGTCATTGAGGTGTGGGTGACCGGGACGGGTCACGGGACATCGGCAGCTCACTGGACAG